AAAACTGAATAAATTTTATTATCATATGAATATATGCTTTGAATTTGAAAGTAATACATGTCATACATGGGATTTTAATCATTTATTATTTTATTTATTTTGTATTTTACACTAGACAGTTATTTTAATAATATCTCAATATCAAAAGTATCTCACAAACAAATAATACTAATGGCAAGAAATAAAAGTTATTGTTACAACGAGAATACTAATCAAAAATGAAATTATATACTTAAATACCAACTCAAAGAGATTATGCTAATTAATAATATTAACATAACAAAATGATATAAAGTAGTATTAATAAGATTTTAATTTTAAAAGTCAATTGAGTGTATTGAATAAATAATTAATTGGAATTATTAATATGAGTATAATGAAATCAAAAATAAATAAGAAAATGAAACTAGATCAACTGAAGATATAATGTTTATTAATTGTGTTATTACTAATGTAAAAATTAATGAGTTTAGTGAATTTAAATCAATAAAATAAAATTTCATCATAATCAATAACGAATAGTTGAATGAGAATTTAAATATAAATGTTTCAAATGAGAATTTAACGAATATAACAGTCATCTATTTTAATTATAAACTCTCTTTGTATTATTTCTTCTTTCAGTTTCTTCTTTCTTTTTATTTAATAAAAAACATACTCATTGTGTATGAATATTTCAAATAAAATAAATCAACATTGAATTATTTCCATTTTTAATTTACCATTTCATTCATTTTAGATGAACGAAATGTTCATATTCTTCATTGATTTGTTTTTATTCTTTTTTATTTCATTTTCAATCATTCAAGATTGAATCATTTCATTTCAATTACTATAACATATCCTTTTAGTGCAAAGAACATACTAAATTTTATTGATTTAGTACTGAGTAATGTTATTGTTTATTGAAAGAAAACTAAACAAGAAATAAACGTTCAATGTGTTGTATTGAAGAATAAAATTCAATAATCATAAAATATACAATAAGAAAATGAAAAAGAATTATAACGTAAAAAAATTCACTAAAATGAATAAGAAAACACAAGTAAATAGAATAATAATAAAGAAACTACAATTAAGAAAATGAGAATTATAAGAGAGAATGAAATTAAAGTAAAAATAAGAAAATAATGAGTGAATTGAAAAAGAGAATATGAAGAAATAAAAGATAAATAGACAAAGTAAAGAAAAATAAGATATGACAAGAAGTATATTCAATCCGAAATAAAAAGATAAAGGAAAAAGTTAAAGAAACAATTAAAGTAAAAACAAAAGAAAAGAGTAAAGAAATAAAGAAAACAACCAAAACAAAGAAATGAATAAAACATAAAAGATTGAAGGATAGTAAATAAAAAAAGAAATAAAGCAAGAAAAAAAAAACATGAGAAAAAGAAGAAACAGAACAATAAATGAAATAGAAATTAAAACAAATTGTTAAATAAAAAGTTAAATAAAAAATTGAGAAATGAATAAATAGAAGGCATAATAAAATAAAAAACACTTATATAAAAAAATGAGTTAGTTAAGTGTTATTAGATTTATTTTCTATTGTTTTTTGCTCACTAAAGACTACTCTCATCCCTGAGCCTAAGAATGTTTACTCAACCATTACTCACTTATTCTTTAGATTTTCATTGTTAAAAAGTATGAATTTCTATTCTTCATTCCTTTTTTATTCCAGAATAAAGTCTTTTCAATCGTCATCAAATTGTGAATTAAATATTTCTTATCTACGTTCATGTCTGATTCTTAGTGTGCAATAAAATTACTTATTCATTACTTTCTTATTTTATGTTGAGATATCCTTACCATGACATTATTATGAATAATTTCATTTAGTCTCAACAACATCCAGTACATGATTTTTCTTTGATAATAAATTATATTAACAAATATACTTGCATCACAACAAGAGATAATATTACTGTCTTTATAAATACCCAATCTTCTCTTATAATTATTGATATTCAATCTTAATAAGTAAAAGTCATTGCCATTCTTGCAATATTTAGTATATATTTTCTACTAAAGGCAACTTCATAACCAGAAAATAAGTGGTAATTTAAAGCATTAACTTCTTTTATTGTTCTGTGAGGTGTTTCTGACATGTATTTAGACTCCCCTGAATTAAAATGATTAAAGAAAAACAAACTTTCAACTAATAAAAAACGTTAATTAGAAAATGATGTTAGAAGTGAAGAAATAAATGATTTCACACCAGAAATATTAGCAAATTGTGGGAATAACCCAGACAAAATCCACAAAAACAAGGGATAAAGTTTTTTCATTGCCTTATCTTCAATACTCGTTGTAATGCCATTTAATAATGAGTTAATATCTCCACAAACATTTTCTATCTTTAAAAGAGTAGAAGGTACAGAGAACGTATTTTTTAATAAATCAATTCCACCTTCTATTTTAAAGTTACCTTCAATTGGTTGGATTTCAAGGAATTCCAAATTGATAAGCATAGGAGGTGGTGTAATTTCTTGAACAAATTTTGGAAGGGGATTGTTTTCACCTGAACATGACTTAATCATTGAATAAAGTTGTTTTAGTATTTTAACACTTAGTCGAATATTTAATTTACATCCATTATTGTAAAGACCAATTGAACATCCCATTTCATCTTTAGCTCCATCCAACTTTTTAGGGATAATCGTTTTAAAAGCAATTTGAAGTGGGGTTTTTGTGGTGTCTAATTGAAAGATAGGTTCTTTTTCTTTGTTTGAACTAATATTAACTTTGTATAAATTGCAACATACATCTGTGCCTCCATTATTATCTACTACAACATTCATTTCCATATGTTCAAAATCAACACTAAGAAAATCTTCTTTTTCCCTTGTTAATTTGAGGTGAATAGTAATAACTTTTATTTCAATAATACATGATGTTTGATTAGTATTAGTTTCTTTTTTTTCTTGAGTATTTTCAGTTTGTTCATTTCTGTAAGTTTTTAAAAATGATTCATTTTTCTTGTGTTTT